ATTATTTGGTAATATTGTGTAATTATTAAATAAAATAAATCTGTTTTCTTTATTTTTTACTGTTTTTATTTTTTTTTCTTCAAAGATATTTTCGGACCGAAAACGGTCTGGATATATTTTGAGAATGGCACCGGTTGGGAGACGGAACTTTAAAAAGTTACAAGCAAGTCCACAATATTCGGACCAAAAACGGTCTGGATATATTTTGAGAATGGCGCCGGTTGGGAGACGGAACTTTAAAAAGTTACAAGCAAGTCCATAATATTCGGACCGAAAACCGTCTGGATATAGTTTGAGAATGGCGCCGGTTGGGAGACGGAACTTTCAAAAGTTACAAGCAAGTCCACAATATTCGGACCGAAAACAGTTTGAATATATTTTGAGAATGGCGTCGGTTGGGAGACGAAACTTTAAAAAGTTACAAGCAAGTCCATAATATTCGGACCGAAAACCGTCTGGATATAGTTTGACAATGGCGCCAATTGGGAGACGGAACTTTTAAAAGTTACAAGCAAGTCCATAATATTCGGACCGAAAACGGTCTAGATATAGTTTGAGAATGGCGCCTGTCGGGATACGAAACTTTTAAAAGTTGCAGGCAAGTCCAATATATTTGGACCGAAAATGGTTCGGATATAGTTGCAAGTTTTAAAAGTTGCAACTATGTCCTCAATATTCGGACCGATCCCGGTCCGTATATATTTGCGATGCCTCTTTCCACCACAGTTACAGACCATTGTCGGTTCGTACATATTTTATTATTTTATTATTTTATTTTTTTTGACCAATTTCGATCCGCTTATTTCAATTTCTCAATAATTATTTATATTGCTTACTGAAATATCCGAACCGATTTCGGTCCGGATAATATATATATACGGACCGATTATACGTCGGTCTGTATATTATACTTATTCGTACCAGTTTTTTCAAATCAACTATAAGGACCAATGTCAGTCCGTATATATATATTCAGACCGATTTATAATATATCCGGACCGATAGTTCGGTCTGAATATTAGATTCCTGCAGTAGTGTTAGTCAGCCTCTAAATCATCTTTGCTGTTGACTTATCCCTCTATATCACGAACACACCCCAACATATTTTATATATTTTTATGATAAAAAAAGATTAAAAAAACCAGAAACTAAAGTAATTGAGAAACACTCCCAAATGAAGCCTTAGGCTCACCCCCTATTATCCGAAAGATGATTTTCCATCTTTTTTCTTACTATTTGTGATCAAGTGAGCAACATTTTAATACCATATGGGTTGGAGAGTTGGAGTACTTCTTGTACTCTAAGTAATAAAATTTTAAATTTTTTGTTATTTATAGTTAGAGTATTTCTAAACTAATTAATTTTCATCCACATCAAGACCAATCCCTCTCTACGTGATTATAACTTCTTAAAGGCACAATCCTACATTGACTTAGTATATTTAAGGAAATTTATTTCCTAAGGTGTTGTCCCCAATAGATGAATTCTAAATATGATTTATAAGATGATACCTGCTTTACCAATAAATCCAATCTTTGGCACTATAATAAAATTTAAATCATCAATAAAAGTGATATTGACAGTGAGGTCAGTCATTTTTATCACCCTTAAATATGTTTAATTTAATTAATTAAAAAACCATAATGACTTTTAAATAAATAAATAATATAAATAATAATATCGATTAAATAAAATAATATTAGTTAACTTTTGAAGAGGCTATTGTGAATTTTATCATTGGAGTGAAAAGTATGGCTTTGAATAAAATAATGAGTAGAAATAAAGGTGACATTAAGGAAAATGTTAAGAGACTATGCATGTGCATGCCCTTATACATACCAAACAACAGGCTGAATATGCTCTCAAGTTAACAGCGCAAATAGTCTGCGAATAATTAATTATCAGGCTAAAGACTTAGGTTCAATCCCCTTCCTCAACATTTGTCAACTGTTCAATGATAATTATAAACAACAGCAATAATAAAAGAGCTGAATATTTAACTTCAGTCTGATTTCTTTGTTGTTGCATTCTCCCATGTCTTGACCACCCTTAAGAACAACTTGTGGTTGCAGAATTCAATAACTTCAGAGCAAACAACCTTAAGAGGATGTAATAGTGTGTACCAAGAGGGCTCTACCAAGTATCTGTCGCCTCGACATGCACTCCTCACTACTGCTTTACCACATCCTTCTGGGGACCCCAACGGAATTATATCATCGAATAAAGCCTAGCAACAAATTAACAACACTGATGTATCAGGACCGACAGGTATATCTTAATGTGGGTTGTTAACTGTTAGGCAATTAACTACTTCCTCTTGTTCCTTAATATTAGTTGTTTGAACAAAAAAAAAAATTATTCTTAAATAATTGACGTCTTAACAAATTAAGATGCATTAACAAAATAAAAATTAAATAATTAATTTTTTTTGCACAAAAAAAAAAAAAGCAAATCAAGATTGCATTAATTTTTTTTCCTCACTGGTGTTTTTTAAGTGATTCCTCTCCCTTCTTTAACCACCCAATCCCCAGCCTTTTTCTTACTTTCTCTCTCTTCTGTAACCTAAATGTAATATCCCAAATTTTCGGGAATTTTATCATTTAAGTTAGGGACTTGATTGTGAGAAAAGATTGTTTTGGGGCCTAATGTGAATATGTCCAAAGTTGAGGGACTTAAAGAGGGAAAGATTTTGGATAAGGATGACTTCTTTTCTTTTTCTTTTTCTTTCTTTTCTTCCCAGCCTTGCCCAATTCTGCTCTTCTTCTCCTTTCTTCCCGCTGCAGCCACTCGAGAGAAAAAAAAAGGGGAACCCAGCCATGCCTTTGAGAAACCGGTGAGATAAGCTTGGTTTTCTCCTTCCTTTCTTGCTCTAGAACACACCTAGAACCCAGAAATCTTCCCCCCCTACTGGAAAAGCCGGATCTGCCCTGCTCTGCTTTGTCCTTCCGCCGGCTGCTCTTGATTGTGGGTGATTTCTGGGCATATTTTTCGGTAAGAACAGCCCCTAATTCCTTTGTTCTTGCTTGAATTGGCTTGGGTTAACTTTGATTGCTCTTATTTCCTCCAATTTTTGGGTAAACCCATGAGCTTTCCCTGCAGCTTGCCGCTGGCCTCTTCCCCCAACCTGCAGTCCGGTTTTGCTTGCAAATTCTGGTATGTGACAGCCTTTTGAGGCTTAAATTGTCCATTTAGTTTGCTGCCTTGTATGTCCGAATTGTGTTGGAAAAATGGGGGGAATTCCGGTAGCCTTTGAACATGTTTTAAGCTTGGTTTAAGTGTAAATTAGCTTGATTTAGATTGTTGTGATTTTTGGAGAGAAAACCTCGTGAGATTATCTAGTGTTTTGGCCAATTTTGGAAGTGCTGTTACTGTTCACGTCGGGGTCACTGTTCACCGGCACTGTTCACAGGTTACTGTTCACACCCCGAGGGCCAACTATTAACGGGGATTTAAGTGATTAGTTTGTGATATAAGAACGAATTTGGAGATATTTGATCATGTGGAGATTGATAGGAATAGCATCGGGATTAAGAGTGATCCTAATAATGATTTCAATTTGAATTTGTGGTGATATGATAATTAATTGTGGATATTTTGATTAGGTTCTTGATCGTCCTGTTAGTTTAGTACTTGAATTGAGTGCTCGGTTTTATGCAAGTGAGGTAAGTAAAATTATGGTAACGCCCTTTGATTTTAAAAGCATGTTTTGATTTGTTTTTGAAGTGGTGGCGGGACTAAACCCGTTTTAAACGAGCATGACTGATTTGAAGTGAAATGTTTTATGCTTTTCATTAAATTGAGCATGCCTACTTGAAATTTAATGGATTACCCCGATGATTTGAAAGTGATTAGTAAAGCATGATTTTCTGTTAATTTCTGCCTGTTTTGTCTTCGATACGGTCATGTTATCCTATTGCCCGCTAGTGGGAGGTTTAAACGCTAGCACATGTCGACATGTTCCTGATAGAACCGGTTCATTCCTGTAATCCTACTAGTGGGAGTTAAACACTAGTAATTCCTGTTGCTTGCCAGTGGGAGGTTTAAACACTGGCCGTGACCTATAGAGGAGACGTCTATTTCGTGCCCGTACTGTATCTGTTTTCGTGATTGTACTTGTTGGCATGCTTTAAGTTTGATAAGGGGCACTCCATATTTACTTACTGACTTTATCTCATAGTTTTTCCTTGTCCACCATTTCAAGAAGTGAAACTGAGGACGGGAAACCACGGGAAGTGACGAGTTAGAAGGCTAGCCATATTGTAATTGGATATAAATTTTAGATATGAATCATGATCTTGTATTTGGAGATTTTATGATATCAGAGTAAATTTTAAAGATTTGATCTTCGGATTTTGATGGTCTCATAGTGTGATATGATAAGTTCCGAACATTGTGCATTTGTGGGACCCGTCTCACGAGTGTACGGCGTCTGTCGCGCCTCGAATTTGGGTTTTGGGGCGTGACACTAAACGACAAGCCCCTTTTTTCCCTCTTTCAGAATCCATACTTTCTCCTCTGACTTTCTCTTTCACTCGAAATTGATCTTGGAAACAATATCCTCTCCTTTCAATCATGGTGAATCTAAGGTTAGATCTTAGATGTGAAGATCTCCCTCCTTGATACTTGATTGAACAGTAGGAACACTCTGGGAGCGGTTTTGACGGAATTGGAGAGGAAATAAAGAGGGAAAGGCAAGGAAAGAGATGAGAGAAGGAGATGCAGGGAACAAGGAAACCATTCTTCTTGGCCAAAATAAGAAGAAGCCATCATTGTCTTAAATTTGATCTTACCATAAGAAAACCCGTTTCCCCTTTTTTTTTTTTTTTCCTTTTCTAATTTTGATTTGATTATCAAAATCTTGGTTTAATGAAATTATGGAATTTGAATCAAAATATCGGTAGATGAATTAGAAGTAAAGAAACTATCCAAAGAAAAAATCACGTTAAAAATTTTGGAAATTTTTTTAGAATACGCTGAATTTAATGTAGAAAGAGAAAAAATTTAAAAGGTTATAATGGTATTTTAGATTTCTGAATCTCTAAAATCAAGAGTAAAATCAAGAGTAATTGATTAATTTTTTTAATTCTCATGCACATCTCTAAAATATTTAATAAAATAAAACAGTGGGAGTACTTCGCTGTACCTTCATTAATGAAGAACGATTCTGTGTCATTTTTGAGTTGATGAAGCCCGGAGTAACAATCGTTATGCTAATATTTCCACCAGTTTCACTTCTTAGTGCCTCGTAGAAGCCTATTAGTGCTGCTTTGCTAGCCTGAGATCATTGAGAAATAACAGCATGTAATGTAAAGTGTGAGTATGTGCAGCCAGGTAATGTTTAATTTAACAACCCTATCTCCAAAGGAAACTATATGTCTGTCTGTTGCCATCATACACTGTAGATACTCAATCCTGGAAAAGGGTACCATCCAGAAACTGAAGCAATGACGATGATCCTCCCTTTACTCTTTCTTAGATGTGGGATGGCAAAATGAGTGCCATAGACTGCGCCCCAGAAGTTGACATCCTGTCAACAAATAATCTCGTGTAATACATGTTATTAAAGAAAAGATAGGATGCCATCAATTGAAATCAATGCGGTTAGACGAACAAATTAAAATGGCCCGTCAAAACTCATTAATGATATAATAACTTTTAAAATCAAGATCTAAGAACTTAATAACACTTCATGACAAAATCTAAGAATTTAAAACTTTCCAAGTCAAGATTTATATTTTCTAAAAATTTAACTTCTTAGTAACAGTTAGTTTTAGTAATTATATTCTCCGCTTACAATCACAATTATTCTATTGTTAGTAATTATAATTACAATTACATACTCCTTTAGCCCTTATTTGTCTTTGTTATTGAGTTAGAGTTTAGTCAAATTGATATTTAATAATTTAAAATTTTTAATTTAAAATCAAAATTAGGGGTTTAAATTTTTACAATATCAACTAGTTTACACTTGAACTAATTTTGTTTTAAAAATTAGAAAAGGTTAAGGTGTGGTCTTAAAATATACATAATGTGGCAATAACCCATCTTAAGAATGCGCAGCATTTTTTTTTTTTTTTCAGTCAGATTATTTTAAATCAAATTTTATCTACTTTGAGATTAATTTGTTTTTCAGTTATCTTAAGAATGTACCGCCCCATGACTTAATATATCTAAAAAAATTAATTTTTTAAAGACTAACTCTAAGATCTGAATTTTAGATTTGACCTAAAAAAGTGGGAGTTAGAAGTAAGTGCAACCTAAGGGCTGTTGATATTTCTACATTACTACGTGACAGATCTGAGAGGAGCAAGAATTACAGCACCTGCACGGACCAATCTAAGCTAATCTTATCAGAAAATTATGTGGCCATACCTCTTGTAAGTAATGGTTGTCTAAAAATTACTCCCCCGGCCCACGTTTGTTGACTTAATTTGCGTTAAATTAATTGTTAGTATTCTTTTAAGCAGATAAATATATTTTTTACACTTTAACACTATTGTTACTCCATTTATTTTCAAAATATAAGTTGTTTGAATTTTTTTACGTAATTTTAGATAATTTTTTTTATAATATATAAATGATAATTGAGTTTTTTTTATACATTATTTTTATTGAGTGATTCTATTTGATAAAAAAATTTTAATTATTATTCAGACTATAAAAAAGTATGACCTAAAAATACATAAAAAAATCAAATGATTTATATTTTGAAATAAAGAGTATTATTTAGCCTTTATTATGTATTAACTCTAACATCAAAATACATTTTAAAAATTTTTTAAGAATAAATACTAGATTTAACCCCAATATTAATCCCAATATTTATCATAAATATTAGATATTATCTCAATCTCGTGGTAGAGTTAAGAGTCTAAGGACAAGCCCCTAAATATTAAAAAAAATTGTTAAAATTTTAAAATTTTAAAAATTCAATATATATTTGCCCTCTACAAAATTAAATAAAATGTATATATTTAGTTAAATATTTTAAACTTTAAAATGAGAATAAAAGCGGTTGAGCCCATCACCATGGTTAATTTGTCTAGGTAATTACTTGCTTTCCTTTCCATCCAAGTTATTTTTCAACTAGTAGTAGACTATTTAAATTCTAAATTTAGTGGACAATAATACAAATACAGTCTCTGTTCATCTTTTTCTTTTTTCTTTTTCTCTTTTTGGTAAGTGTCTTTTTTAAATGGGTTTTTTTTTTTTTTTTATCTTGTCTGTACAATGAGAGGCAACCATTTTATAAATAGGGTTTTTAAACCAAGCAGACAATAATATAATAAAATGATAAAATCAATAATAAAAGAAAATTAATTTTTTTATATATGCTTTTAAGGATATTTTTTATATATTTTTGCAATTAATTTGGTATGAAATATATGAATATTGACTTGAATTTAATTAATTGATTTATTAAAACTAGTCATGTAGTAGTGATATTAAAATAAAGGTAATAATATGTAAATAACTATATATATATTTTGGTGTAAAACTAGTCACATGGTGGTAACATGCTGGGCGCTAGGTTCTAAGTGGGGAGATATTGTGTTAAAATTTTGTAATGTTGTCTTCAAAAGGAGAGGCAGTTTTTTGGTTGTTAGGAATATTAATGGGTTAGGGTATCTTGCACCCAAAGAAATAAAATTTTTTGATTTATCAAAAAAAAAATTATAATTTTTGTAATTTTTACATGATATTAGATGAATAAATTCATATACTATTATAGATTTAATAAAGTAAAAAAAATCAATAATTAAATAATAAATAAGATTGTATGAAAAAAATTATATAAAAATTATTTTTCAACCTTTTTTTTTAAATAAATGTTAATTTTTATTTTTTTATGCAAATTAATTATAAAAAAATATTTAATGCATCTTTATATATATATAAAAAAAAAAGTACGTCAATAAGTTACCATGACTGAAGTGAGTTCGGAAATGTTTTCAACCTCCTCAAATGGCCCTGTTCTTGCAATCCCCGCATTGTTCACCAAATGATCCACTGTTTATGTAGTTCTTCTCTTTCAGAAAAGAAAGCAATGGAAGAAAAATATGGGATGGAGAATTAATAAATTAGAACTTCATATAACGTACAAACCTACTTGTACCAAAATGGCTTATTGCGGCATTAACAAGTCTCTCACAGTCTTGGACCTTAGAAACGTCAGCTCCGATCCCGATCACGTCTGGTGAGCCAAGATACCGTGCCTTTTCTATGACTGGTTTTAGACAATCCTCTCTTATGTCGACTAGGCCCAACCGAGCTCTCCTTCTTGCATACTCATAAGAGATTTGCTATTGGATTATTTTTTTTTTTAAAGGAAAGAAAAATAAAGATCAGATGCATAATTTAAGAAAGATTGCTAAATATGTAGACAGTTGGTTTTGGAAATATGTATAAATAAAGTATAAACCTCGCCGATGCCTGAACCTGCTCCGGTCACGAGTACCACTTTTCCGGCCACATTTTCACTGAACATGAGCCTTCTTATAAAGGTAAGAAACCTGAATGCTAGACATGGTGGTAGAGTGAAAATAAGGCTAATGATTGCTATGGCGGAGAGAAGAAGAAATTTCAGGACAATTCGAATCAATTCCATATCACAGAAAGTGGGTGTTCTAAGATAGTTGATTTACGCTGTATTTGGGGAAGAAATGGAAAAGTGAATCAAAAGGAAGAGATATGTAGATATATATTTAATTTTTTCTAAAATTTGTGAGGTTATATTTTGCAGGAAAATTGTGCAACGAAGGGAAGACAGATGTAGCAATAAATTTCGCATTATGATAGATCGGCCTGTTTGTCGGGTGGTGTTATTTCCACAGCTTCACAGGTTAACACCACAGTTTTTTTAATTAATTGACCATTAACCCACGCGGAGAAGGTGGTGACTGCTGCAAGTTGCATTCAAATGAGGGGTATAATAGTCAAATAATTAAAAAAAGCTGTGGTATTAACAGTAGTGGCTGTGGCAATAACACCACCCCTGTTTGTCAGCTGAGAAGGTTGTTGTGGGCATGCGGTTAGGGAGGAGGGCCCCCTCTTAATTCCCTGCTTCATTGTTGGGAATCAATTAGATTAGCTTATAGTATAAATTAAAAAAATAATAAATATATTTTTTTATAATTAATTTATATTAAAAATTATAAAAATTTATATATATTTTAATGTCATGACCACTTAAATAATTTTTATTGGTTAATTAATTAAATAC